CGAGCTAGTTCAAGCAGGGAGCTGCGTCAGCATGCGTAGGCTGCAAAGGAACAAGTAAAGGTTTATTCCAGGCTGAAAAGAGAAGTAACACAACGTTTCGGTTGTAGAGCCTTCTTCAGGTGTTGAGAAGCCTTCAGGTGACACCCGAGGAAGGCTCCACAGCCAAATCGTTGTGTTTCTTTCCTTCTCTTTTCAGCCTGGAATGAACCTTTACTTGTTCCTCATTAGTACAGACTTCAACATGCAGAATAAGTCTGACTGTGCCCTCTTGAAAGTTGCTCCTGAACCCAGGGCTGCAGTTTTGCAGTGTCTTGGTGTGTCCTACAGTGTGAGAAAAAGCAGCACTCACTCTTTTCCCGCTGTTCTCTCTCTCCCCCCCTTCTCGATTCCCTCTCCCTCCTCCTCCCCCTCTCCCTCACTCTGCCTCCCACCCTCAGCGATGAATGGCCACACGTCATGCCTGCGACTGCTGATAGAGGGTGCTGACAGCACAGATGTGGTAGATGCCGTGGACTCTCAGGGACAGTGAGTCTCTCCAACACCACCCTCGTCTCTCTTTTATCAACTGTGTGTATCTCTGTGTGCTCATGTGACTCATACAGTTCCTCAGGTGTCTGAATCTTCTTCCTGTGGTCCACATTCCTTAGCTCATGGGGCGTTCTGTCCTGAGCACTTGTATCGAATGATGTTGATTTCTCCTTCTTTGCTGTCTGTCTTATGGGCTTCAGTTTGCTGATTGCTGTATCATCAGAATTACAAGACAGAGCTCTGACATGTTGCTCTTGCAATTCAGATTTTTAGCCCTGAGGGGAGCCTGTTTACTGTGAGAGTGTTGTAAAACGCTTGTTTCGGTCTGTGTTTCCAGGATGAACCCTCTCCCTTCTTCAGCCCCAGTTTCTGTGCCTGTGAGCCTCTGTCCGAGCAGGCTGTGTGCGTGTACTAACACCCACGCCCGGCGCCGTGTCTTGCAGTGATCTGGTGTAAACGCTACCCGCTCTCTCTCAACACGCTTGCACCCTGGCCGTTGTCCCCGGTGCGGCCTGGCGATCCGACGCAGCGCGTGTGCTCCCCCTGCCGACGCCGGCGCGCTGGTGTCCGAGACCCCCCCGCCCCCCCCCGCCCCGAGGCTCCGCTGCCTCACCGGCTGTCTGTCTCCGCGTGCAGGTGCCTGGAGTTCCTGCTGCAGAGCGAGGCGGAGGCGACGCTGCGAGACCGGCAGGGCTACAGTGCCGTGCACTACGCCGCGGCCTACGGACACCGGCACTGCCTGGAGCTGGTGAGACGCTTTCCACAGGGCCTATCCTCAAGCATCAACTCAGGAAATTTAGCTACTGTAAAAAATAGGATAGAGTATCA